CATCATCACCTTTGGTGTTCCGTAGGGTTCATTCTATTGGAATAATATCTTCGATGATGCGCCAATTGCAGGTGGGGGATTCTTTAATCTGAATGTTATTTGAGATACGCAAGTCGTATAGAAAAACCAATGAATTTTTGGCAAACCATTGGTGCAAGATAATATTTAGGAAACATGAATGATGAAAAATTTTACATTAATTTTTTAAGTGATGTACTACCAACAAATTTCAAAACATCCAAGCACAAATGATTATCAGAATAGAGAAACAAATCGCTTACCAATCTATTGTTATCGGGGGTCAACACAAATTTCATGAATCGGTTGATATCCAACAATTGAGGCATGCACCCAACCTGTCCGAGCAAATATTCCTGCACACTTGATTCTTTTGACACAAACTATATATTATCAAAGTGGAAAATACATAATTATTCACCAAGGCCAGTTTGAAAACCAAAAAATCTCCACATTTTATGTCTTTATCAAGAACAAAATCAGCTCATCCATTAGTGAAACATACTCTTTCACCCAAAATTTCAACTATCACGTCCCAACAACGCCCACAATCACTAGTGTCGATATGTACTATACGAGTGATGGGGAGCACCCCATCAAAATACCGATCATTGGTAGGGGGAATCGCATATTACCTACGACATCATCAAATTCTATCCACTTCATTATTGTTGTCACTTCTATCCTCGATGAGGCTCTCGGGGGCTCGAGCACCTCTATCCATGACCTCGAGGCCGTGAACAAGGACTTGGTCGCTGAGGTAAAGCGGCTCAATCGTCTGAAGGTTGAGCTGACCATTGAGTTATCCAAACGTGATCACCTCCACAAGGATGAGTTGAAGGCCAAAAAGGACGAGCTTGCGGTGTCCCGAGCTCGTCAGGTGGAGGCTGAGACCAAGCTCGAAAAGTCCATCAACCAAGCCGTCGCCCATGGTTGCCTAAAAGGTCGCCAGTCTTTTTTCCGCTCGTCTCTTGGTGAGGACTTCATCAGATTCTATCTCTAACAAGTCGTCGAGGACTTCTGTCGGTCTCCTCAATTCCTTCATAAACATGAGTGTATGCAACATCAACGACATTTATTCCTAGGTCGAGTGATTCTTCCTTCATAAACTTATACCGGCTACTCAAAGGTGTCCTCGAGAAGAAGCTTCTTCCTCATGTGATTCCTATACTAGATCATCCTCTCACTAAGGTCACTCCCGGGGGCACTCAAGTGGTTTCCAATGATGCCAATCCTTCGACCAATCCGGCTGGGACCTCAACCTCAAAACCTGATGGTGCCCAAACAAACCCTGCCGACCAGGCGAGCTCCTCTACCAATCCGGGCTTAGAAAAAGTGTTGTAACTTTACCTGATTTTGTTCAATTACTGTGAAACAATATTTGTAGTGTGATTTGAATGATAATTTCTTCCTTTAACCGTGGCTTGTTTTTGAGATGTTTGAGTGAAGTTTACATATATGCCTGATCATTAGTTGCTTCTTAAATAATTGAAGATTTCACCAAGTACGACCAAAGTTCAACCAGATTTTAACCAAGCATGTTACTAGGATATAACCAAGTGTACATCAGATATAGAACCAAGTATATTTCCCAAAAATTTTCCAAGTATTTCACCGAAATTAGGCCAAGTTTACCGTCGAAGTGAAGTTTGGTTTTGACCTGCCCCTAAGGTCACCTCATTTGAAAATGATGGGAAAGAATTACACCAAGTTACCTTTTTAATAGACCCACCCCTAGGGCCATCCAGTTTTTGTTTATGATAATGAGATAACTGATTTGGATTTGAAATGGTTGATCGATCTGCCACCGAGGCCTCCACAATGTGATTTCTTATATTGAAGCACCGACCTACCAGTTAAGTCTCCCACACTTTGCTTTACCTTAATGAATTTATGTTATCGAACTTTGGACGGGTGTTTGGTTGTTTTTGCTTCCTTCGAGATCATTGTCTTCTCCGCCTAGGATATGCTTTCTCGATCCACGTCTCCTTTTGGAGTAGTTAGCTCGCCCAACTTGACCTTCCTGGAACTGATACTTTTTTCCTGGAACACTTACCCAACCCCCCTCTAGGATCGTTCAAACAAGGACCACCCAGCTAGAAAGCCTTAGTCATGATAGGCTTGCCTTGAACACTTGCCTAACCCCTCTTTGGGGTCGTCCAAACAAGCGACCACCCAGGTCGAAAGCCTTAATCATGGTGATTTTTGGTCTTCAACACTTGCCCAACCCCCTCTGAGATTGTTCAAACAAGTGACCACTCAGCTCGAAAGCCTTAATCATGTTGGATTTTTCCTTGATCACTTGCCCAACCCCCCTCTGGGGTCGTTCAAACAAGTGAGCACCCAGCTCGAAAGCCTTAGTCATGGTGGATTTTGGTCTTCAACACTTGCTCAACCCCCCTTTGGAGTCGTTCAAACAGGTGACCACCCAACTCGAAATCCTTAATCATGGTGGGTTTTATCTTCGACCTCGCATTCGGAGCGACCACCCAACTTGGAAGCCTTGATTGTGGTGGATTTTGAAAAACCATATATTGACCTGTCACTGAGGTCGTCCACAAACACACCAAACACAATCACACAGTAAAACAGAGCAGCATCATATGTTTCCATTAAGTTCCACGAGTGAAAATGACTTACATCAATTCGTCAAAAAAGAAAAAAATTAAAGCATAGTATTTCTTCAAATTTGCAACATTCCATGACTTGGGTCGTGATCGGCCTTCCACATCCTTCAACGAGTAAGCTCCTCCAGTATGGACTTTTTCGACTAGGTATGGTCCCTCTCAATTCGGCTCCAGCTTGCCCACATGTTTCAACTCATCAATTCTTTTCCAAACCAAATCAACCACCTGGAATCTTCTGATTTTGACCTTCCAGTCATGCGCCATCCTCATCCTTTGTTTGTAGGCTGCAACTCTGGTCGATGTTTGCTCCCTCAATTCATCGATTGTGTACAGTGCCGCTCGTACAAGCTCTTCATTTGCTTCTAGTCATATGTGTTTGACCTCTGGGACTCTAACTCAATCTCGACCGATAAGAATGCTTCCATCCCATATGCTAAACTGAATGGGGTCTTGCTCGTTGTCGACCTCGAGGTGGTCTGATATGCCAATAGTACAGAAATGAGTTCATCAACCCACTCTCCCGAGGCTTTATCCAACCTTTTCTTCAGCCCGTTCAAGATAATTATGTTGGTGACCTCGACCTGGCCATTGGCTTGCGGATGAACTACCGAAGCAAAGTGTTATGCGATTTTTTGTGTCTTCACACCATGTTCAAATCTTCTTGCCATTGAATTGAGTTTCGTTGTCTGATATCTACACCTTGGGCACGCCGAACTTGCAACAAGTATTGTTATAAAGAGAGTGTACGACTTTATCCTCCGTGATCTTGGCCAAAGGTTCTACATCTACCCACTTTGTAAGGTAATCGACTGCCACGATAAAATACTTCCTCTGACCAGATCCCTGCGATAGTGGCCCCACCAGATCGATGCCTCACTAAGCAAATGGGATTGGGGCACTCATCATGGTCATAATCTTCGCCGGTTAGTGAATGAGTGGACCATGTTTTTGACACTGCAATCATTTGTTCACCATCGAGGCTGCGTCCGCCTTCATCATCGGCCAGAAATAGCCAGCTCGTAGAATTTTCGCTACCAACGATCCCACTTTGCTATGGTCACGACAACACCCCTCGTGGACTTCCTTAAAGAGACTTTCTTCCATCATCACACACCTGAGATGTGGGCCCGAGAATGATCTCTTGTAGAGGACTCCTTCTTGCTCGAAAAACCTCTTGATAAATTTCAAGCTCCCTTCTTTAAATTCCCGCAAGATAGAGGCCATCCAATCATCGACCTCTTGGATCTCTGCTACCTCAACTTCCACCGCACTTTTCTCCATGTGTAATAAAGTTACAATTCTGCTTTTGTAGTCGACCAGATTTTGGGCTATATTTGGCAACAAGTCAGCCCTTCCATTCTCCCCTCTTGGTATCTGAATCAGTCGAAAAAACCAAACTCTTCTTGCAACTTGTTCATCTCATCCTCATATTGCATCCTTCCCTCCTTGACCTCGAACCCATCCTGAAACTACCCTACAACCAACTGAGATTCATAGTGTACCTGAATCTCTCGAGCTCCTCCTGCCAAGGCCAACTGTAGACCTTTAACCACTACCTCGTACTCTGCCTCATTATTCGACACTCTAAATCCCAACTTGGTCGCAAATTCTAAATTATCCCCTTTAGATGAAATTAACAAAATGCCTAAATCGAGTCTTAACCAAAGGGCCGCAAGAACTCAGCCCAAGGAGCTGCTTATCGGGATAGGCAAGAAGTGAATTTGGTAGAACAAACTTTTTTAAAAAGAACTCGAATTTATCTCATAAACTTCTTCGAGTTGTTTTTTAAATAAGACCGTTGAAGTTTTTATTTCAACTGACAAATGAACTAATTTTGCCAAATACTATAATCATATCTACTAGCTTTTCAGCCCTACACCATAAACTATTAGTTATAAATTTAGAATTTACTCATAAGTTATCAGTTAACTTATTAGCTATCAGGTAGTATAATAATAAGTGAATTTCGAACTTATAAGTGATTACTTGTGACTGAAAAGGTAGCTAATATTATAAAAGTGTTTGGTATGAGTTGCATGTAACTTAGAATTATGAGTTGCATCCTTCTTGGAAACGAAGTAAACGAGCATGATCCGAATTAGGCTAACCATCCTTTGATAATACATAAAAGTCAGAGAAACATACGTACAACATTAAAGATCTCTAACAAACAACAAAACACAAAAGAGTTCCAGTATTTTTAATATTTACACAAAATAGAAGCAGCTGCGAGGTTTTCTTTTTCTGTGAACACAGCAGGTAGACGACATAAATAATTAATAAATAAATATTTGAAATTGGTCACAAGCTAGTCTCAATTTTGTTTTTTTTTTTTTTCAAAAACAAAATAAATAATTATTTTTTGGTGGTGTGATGGGCGGGATGATAGTTGAGAATCCATTGCCAGAGCTTTCTCCTCCTCCCGCCCCTTTCCTCCGCCGAAATCCTGCAAGGACCCCCACAACTCTTCGTATTCCCAAATCCGACCCCAAACTGCTCGACGCCGCCGTGATCTGAGCCGCAGCTCCTCCTCCTGCCCCAAAACTCCGACGGGTCGACCCGCAGGTCGATGAAGGCCGACTCGTCCATGGCGCGAAAGTCACTCTCCCTCGCCGGGAAGAGACCCCGCTGGGGCCCGCTCCTCCTCGGCTCGAGGAAGACGCCGCCAGCGACGTCGGAGATTTTAGCGCTGGAGAGCGCGCTCCTGCGGCCGTCTTCGTCCCTGAAGCTGCACAGAGATCTAGATCTGGAGATCCCCACCGCCTCCGGGACCCAGATCTCGCTCCTGACGTCATCGACGTCCGCCTTAGACTTTTTCCTCCGGAAGAGGTGCTTGATCCGCCATATGCCTCCGCCGCGGCTCCTCCGCACCTCCACGCAGCTGCTGCTGCTCCTCTGCAGGAAAATACCCTGCTCCGGCGGCTTTTGGCTCCGATTTCGGGGCTTATCGGGGGCCTTGTCGTTCTCGATGAGGAAGGAGACGCGGGCGACGTCCATGGCGGAGCAGTAGGAGTTGCGGTGGGAGGAGGAGGAGACGCCGTCGGAGCAGGAGCAGGAGCAGGAGGAGAGCCTCTGTTCCCCGCAGTCGGAGCAGACCAATCGGAGCAGCCGGTCCTTGAGGCAGTCAGAGCAGATACCGACGGCCGCCGATTGGTTTGGGTGTTTCCGGCACGGTGTCTCCGACGACGCCGAGAAGTTGAAGTCCTGGGGGCCGTCGGTCACCCCTGCTTTGCCTCTGTCTCTCATGGCCGCCCTGTATTTATGTTTTGAAAATGGAAGGAGTGAGTTATGAGTGAGAGTTAAAATTGGACTTCTGGATTGTGAGAAACAAAGTTCGCGCAGAGGGGTGTTATTATTGTTAAATTAAAATAGCTTTCCTCTGGAAAATAAATAAAAAACACTGGCGTGAGCTTTACGTTTATTTAATTCGCCTTTCTCTATTCAAATCCAAAAGGCGGTAGAGTGATGTATTTTATTTTTTTTATTTTTTTTTTTTNGTGTTTTTATGGCTTTTTGACGGCATGATTGTGTCGTGTGTGGGTTGGGAAAAAACAATTATGAAATTATATAAAAAAATTCACGATCAACTACAAGTTAATTTTTTTCAGTTTAGAATGTGGGAATAGTTATACGAATGGACCTCATAATTTTTGTATATCAATGCATAACGGTCGCATATTCTCCGCACAATAAATTCACACTTTAACTTTTTTATCTTTAAAAAGTGTGATGGGTGATGCGAACGTAAATGTCGAATATCCAACGCATAACTGTGGTATATTCATCGCACAATGTTTTCGCACTTTCTGAAATAAAATATTAAATTCTCATATATTATTCGCACAGTGTTTTTGCACTTATAGGAAAATTTCTCTCTCCTTGCATGGGAAAATTTCCCAATTCTTGCCCCAGTTCGATTGCCGTTGTGCCTCTTCTTTGGCCAGGCTTAGCACACCATGACGTCGGTCGACTCTTAGTTGGCTTCAGGTGAGATGTTGCTCATCCTGGTCAACTGTTGGTTCCCATTCCTTCTCCATGTGGTTCTCAGTTGTTTATATATAGTAGCCATCCAGCTCAAGGGGTAGGTGGATGGCGGCTTGCTAGTGACATTTGGCGTCTAGCACCAATGCTACATTTGTAGCTGTCGGGGTTGAGGACGGCGCCTCTGTCCTCTCCCGATTCGGCTATCCCTGGTGTTGGGATAGCGGGTCCTTCTGGTGGGATGGCCTCTTAGGCTGCAGGCGCAAGATTTTGCGGTGGGGGACGAGTCTCCTGGGGCTGATCTTGGTGGTGAACTTGGGGTTGGTTTTCGCTTCCGTTGGTCCGAGTCAAGTTAGATGTAGGGGGAGTTTCTCGATCATGTATTGAGTTGGGGGTTGGTTAGCTGACCTTTGGTTGATTGCCTTCAGTGCCGTTTCGAGTGTTGCGGTTCGGGGTGTTTTACGGCTGGCGAGGAGGGCGTTACTCTAGTTATTCTAGCTACTAGTGTGTTTTGTGTGTTTAGTTTTTGTTTGTTCGTGTTTGTGCTGTTTTTTGTGTTCCGTCTCCCGTTTCGGGAGTTAGTATTCTCTCGTTTGGGAGTTAGTATTCTCTACAAGTAGGAGTTAAGTTTTTTTCTTGTTTTCTAGTTTTAGTTGGGTGCGTTTAGTAGTTGTTTTTAGGCTATAGTTTTTATGACTTTTTAGCCTACTCCGAATTTAGCCTTTGGCGGCTTGAGTCGACTAATTAGCCGCTTGTAATTTTGTATTTTTTTAATGAATTATGTTGTTTTGGAAAAAAATAAAAATAAATAATATATGTTCATAGTAGTGTGAAAAAGATATGTGCCGGGAAATGGAGGGACATTTTTTGTCAATTAAGTCATCAAAGTGAAACGTTAAATAATACCTTTTTTCTTTTAAGAAGCATTGATAATTTAATCATACTCGAGGGAGACATTGTAAAAATTAGCCACAAAATGTGCAAAATGATCAAATTGCATACACTATAGAAGCTCCCTGTCGACAGGGTCATGCGTGTTGGGCCTTTAATTTATAAGGACGCTAAAATAATTTAATTACTGTCCCTAGTAGAAGTTGCTAGTTTATATAAAAAAGATA